TTGTTGCTATGTGTGAAATGAGTTTCTGGCGTGCTTGTCGACGACATCGCGAATAGCTAATTATGAAGTCTACACACAAACTTGATATATACACGGCGTTTGCAACGTGGTATTAAAAGTGGAATCACAACTCAATGACAAATGTATTTATAATAGGTCATTTCAAATATTCGGAACTCCTGTGGCTTTGCCGACCAAACAATCAAAGGGGAGCATCTCCGGCCAACCTGACTACCCTCTGATTACGTAGCTGCACGCACGCACGCGCACGCACGCACGCCTCGATAACTATTCTGACAGGCACCATGATGAACATCTTGGTAACGAGCTACTGCATGGCTATACATCTACTCTACATGCCGTGGTAGATTTGAAAGTTGGTTCATAAATTCATCTGTTACTTCCACAGCGCCCAGTAAAAATATCTTGCTAACCATTTTGTAATTTCGCAAACATAGCAGTAACAAACACATCCAATGTTAATGAGGGGTGCACCGGAAATTGGATTCGGCCGGATGATCCAAATCCCCAATTTTTCAGAGTTCCGGTTCTGGCCGGAACCCTTCAGAAACAGTTGGCCGGAAGCAGAACTTTTTCCTAATTTAATTTCTGCTACAAGCGTCATCAAAATCAAAAGATTAGTCACTGAATGTAGTTGAGAGTCGATAGAGTCAACTTGCTGACAATATACTATATAGTGTTAACAACTTCACACTTTTCTGCCCAAAAAACGCTTGCCACTTGAACATTGGCTAACTAGCTGAACTGAACCCAACTGATGTTAGGTGATTCACAAGATTTTCTTTCAAAATCAAATACTCTTTTAGAGCCACAGGATTCGCATCTGTTCGTTGGTTGAAAATATTATACTAAAACCAGGAATACTGCAACATGCAGGTTTTGCCACAGAATTCGCTCGTGAATAAGATGCCAGAATTATGCAAATTATGCACTGTACAGTAAACAGCCGATTCATACACCTAACAGTAACAACCATCCTGTAATTAGAACTTTGAGCATTGTCCTACTCGCCTAAGTGATGTGCCTGCTAATGATATTTCGTTAAGGCCGAGTGAGTTTGCGCAATACTGGGCCAAAACTGTCAAGTTTATTCCCAGCTAAAGTTCCGGTTCCGGCCAGGTAATTCCGACCGGAACTTAAAAAGTTGGATCCGGTGCACCCCTAATGTTAATTCAAACCTTCATTGAAGGAATGTCGTACACCTAATATGGTCTCCTCATACACGACCTAAATACGTCTATAACACACATGCAGATACTATATATATCACACACAAGGTGTACATACTCGCGATATCATTAGAATCACACAAACTCACAGCAAGCACACAACTGTGCTCCATATTTTTGCGACTTGAAACCCTGTCTTTTATAGTTTTACAACAGAAACTACTAGAGATGCCTTAACTTGGAACAACCATTCGATCAAAAAAAAACTTGAAACTACAACCAATCAACGATCCTGATGTAGACCACATGCACTGCTGGCAAGGGTGCACTTTTACTTTTAAAAATAAACTAAAAGTATAACACACATGCGGATACAGCTAACACTCCGCGGCGCAGCCCTAGATCTACCACTCCAGGCATAGCACTATAGATGGGACAGGAAAGATCACATCAGATGAACAGTCGAGTATAACTGCCGTTCATATATTGCCCTATTTTACCATACATTAAATTTATCATGAATATGTCAATTTTTTTATCATTGTCTTTTTGCTACGACTACTACAAAATTTAATATTTATATTTCGCGTTCTATTACGACATTTACCATCTTGCACACAGAAAAACAAACAAATTCGGTCAGGTAAGTAGTACTAGCCATTTAAAAAGATGACTTCTAGCTCTAGCCTAAACTATAGAAACATACAAGTACGTCAGGCGCACAGAAATTGCATAGGATTATATCTATTCCAAGTTTTTTTTTGCTTTGAGTTTGAAGGCATAAATATCTGAATGAATATTATAAATATCTTTTCGTATTTGCTGCCCTTAGCAAGGATGTGATTCATAAAAGGCATTAACTGTGCAGAAAAATAACGCATATAAACGCAGAGGCAGCCTTGGCCACCTCAGTAGAATTGAAAAGAATTGTCAACCCATTGCTTCTTATTTATGATGGCTAAGAACAAAATATTATTATCTTTGTTAACACATAATCTCTCTTATCAAACGACAAGGGTGAAAAAGACGTTTGTAAACCAGGCTACTAACTTTTATAGATTCCTAGGTTAAAATAGTTACCTCACCTTTTTACAAACCCTATTTGTACGGTAACCTCAAGGAAAATTTGAAAGCTTTTTTAAGCGATTTACCTTACTGATGTGCAACAAAACTACTCACTATTGACAATATATATATATATATATATATATATATATATATATATATATATGTATTTGTTGACATCAAAACAAAGCAACAAAATATACCTACATGTATAATGCAACAATTATAAGTGATAACTGTATTTTCAATTTACTTTTTAGAACAAAAAGCTAATACCATATAAGACAAGACAGTTGCTTAACAGGGTTCATAAACCCAAGGCAAAACTAATTTCCAGGATTTCCCATGTTTTCAATGACCTGTTCAACCCCTTCTTTTTAACATTCATTCACTTGTCGTTGAATTTAGTATTTACACAAGATTCATGGTGGTTTGTTACAAGTACGTTACATTAGTTAATATGGGGGAAGAGATCTTTGAATAATTTATAATTTAGGTATGTAAATGAATTCATTGAAAAATTTAATAGCCATTGCTACAGACATCTAATGCAGGGTGGGGCTGCCCTGGCAGCAAGTGAGCTGAACTGCACAGCGTTTGAAGAGAGATTTAACACAGTAATGCTTGGCACAACAATGCTACACAATGATACTGAATCTTGCTTTTTGCCCCCCTGTTGCAACCTGCTCTAATAATAAAGTAATTCTACTATTGGTACTTGTCACCTTCTAAATTGCAAAACGTGATGACACCAGTCACAATTTAACTAAACTAGCTGTCAAATAGCCTAGCTAGCAATAGCGTACATCAACATGGTTTTAAAAGGCATTTACAGTTCTGTATAGTATACAATGAACATTTTTACTCGTTTTATTTGATATTTTTCATGATTTTAGTTTTTGAGTTGACGGATATTGTCATAACTTTGTTTCCAGTTTAAAAAAAACTATTTTGTAAAGAATAAAATGCAGTAGATTGCCTGCGTGTAGCCTGCTTCTTATCTACCGACAAGGCAACAACCACATTTCAACATAGTGATTCTTGCTTGTACAAGTGTAGTTGTATATATTCTCCACATAGAAAGTATGTACGAAACTCATCTGAAGTTTATTATACATTCACATATTAACATTCCACATGGCTAATTTACATTCTCCAAAACATATTTTGCACACAGCCCCATCTGAAAACCCCCCTCTGGTGGTCAAATAGCTTTCCCAAAATTGTTCAAAGTATGTTTAAATGCATAAATTCAGGAGAATATATTTTTTTTTCAATGTGGTTAGGACTACCGATGCATGCAGGCCTAGCACTTGGGGCCATAATAAAAGTATTGTTTGTTTGTGATCTTTCCCATTCTTTTTTTTTTTACAAATTGTATCACTGTACATTAATAAATCTGTAGGCAATACATTATATGTACCAAGCAAAGCAAACATTCAACATAAAAGGTATCTCCACAGTTGTTGTAAGCACACCCGAGCATGTAAACACCATGCTGAATTTGTAAAAAGACCCCCCTCAAAACAAAGAAGCGGACCTACCTACCCAAATTTTTCAGCCTGGGTCGGGTGAGGGCAAACAAATTTTTTTTAAATTGTGGCCTGGGAGGACAATAATTGTGCCCTATAAATTTTAATAATCGGACACTATTTTAGGGCTTTTAGCCTTCCATAGAGAAGTGGGAAATTATTGAAAAGTAACTTTTTAATTTTTTCTGGCAACGTGACAAAAAAAATCAAAGAAATCTATTCAAAAAAATCTGAACAATTCACTTTATTAACAGCTTACCTACACCACAAAACACCTGCCATGTATCATCAGTTTCTTAACTACCCTTTATCTTGTAAAAATTGTCCAAACTTTATCAGAACAGAATTGTTAACTTGTACTTTTTTGTCTCATCTACTGTGTATCTATCAAACAATGAAATCATCACTGGCTATGCCTTGTGTTCAAGGCAAAGCTGCAATCTCTGTTCTGACGAAGTTTGGAAAATTTGATGTCGTAATGCTTCTATCCAATAAAAAGTCCTTAAGAAGCTGATAATGCATCACAAGTGTTTTAAGATGTAGGTAAGATGTTAACAAGCGAGGCGTATATTTCTTTGAATTTTAATGTTACACAGTCAGAAACAGTAAAAAAGTTGTCTTACAAAAATGTGTCAATTATTTTTATGAAAGGCTATGGGGCCCTAGAATAGCCACAGATTATGCAAATTTATAGGACATAATTTGGGCACAATCCTAGTTTAGCACCTCGGATTAGTTTAGCATATAAGTGAACTATATTATACCGAGGTCACAAACTAGAATTGAGCAGAATTTGTTAGTCAACGCGATTGCACTCGGACTCTGCACGATATGCATATCAAAAACTGAAATGGATTGGATGTTTGCATACATAACGTTTCAGTACGCATTACTCCTACTAGTAATAATATTAACTCCATCATGAAAAATTACCAAAACTGACAGTATTCTATGCGCGCTGTATTCGTGAGTGCCCGCGTTGTGAATGCGCTTGTGAAGTCAATGTGTTTCTGTTTGCGTTGAGAACAGATTTGACGCCACCCGTTTGGGAAATTATACATCAAAGAACTAAAAATTCGTATAATTATACATCATACTTAGTTTAATTGTATCGACACAAATTCCTACCAAATATTCGTGAGTAGCATGATAGGATTTTAAGCGCTGCAATTAGTCACAGTTTTTATAAGAAATCGGCAAAATATTTACTCACATTCAAAATGGTTTCCTCGCTGACCGCCATCTTCGTCCCCAATGAAGAGGAAGCAGCCGTTTCATTGGTTGCTATTAGTGGATGTGCTAAATGAAAACCTATCGTGGTTGGCTGCTATTATAAAATAGGCGGGATTTCGCAGCCATAAGGTTGAATGGACTTTTCTTAAAAAATAACAAAGAATAATTAACTCTTGTTTAGGATAGTCAACTGTGTACTATTTGTAAAATTTAGTATTGTCGTGGTTAATACGAGTCGCCAAATGCTGTTAAAGTGAACACCAAGTACATTGTGGGTCTTGCACGTTGTATTACCATAGTTGTGGAAGTACAGTGTTTTTTTTTGTAAATTCATTCATCACGTACACTACACTACACACTGGGATATAAGCATATACAGGCCAATACATTACTCATTAATGAATAACAGAAGTACTACGACTAATAGTGACTAATACTGGAGGCACTACTTCTCAATATTATTATGCTAGAAGTTGCATGCAGGTTTTATTTTTTTCTAGAATGTCAACTTTTGAGCAAACACAGGTATATTTAAAAAAAACTTCGGCACAGGTAATTAAGAATGTCGTGGGAATTTTGTCGCACGAATTGTTTGTTGAAAGTTTGGTTATTACAAATTCAACATATTTTCTTTGGTCACATTTATACGGATGAAATTCCTACACGCAAATTAATTACCAGAAAAATATGTCATATGTACGTGTTCCGTACGTGTTCCGTACGTGATATATAACATCAAGAGTACATAAGAGAGATTTGTATCTCTCTTAATATCATAATCTTGATATATATGAATATAAAATAATATATATTTAGTTTAATAATCATTTGTTTATATTATCTTCTGCTTTTATTCTCTCTCTCTCTCTCTCTCTCTCTCGTCCATTCCCTCGTCTCTCCTCTCTCTCGCTTGTTAAACTCTGACTACGTCCAACAATTTCTCTAATGGCTAAAATTTGTAAAATTTTTGTTGCCATTTTTTTACATTAAAAGTAAGTACTAACGGGACTAAACGTATCGTCAAATTCTTACCTGATAAGATTGTTTCTCACTAGCTAAACATCCAAAAAACTGGACGATTTTGATTTATGTTCCTGACATTAATTGCTTTCTATGGGCTTGTATGAGTCACGAGTGTATGTCACACAATCGAACAATATAGTAAAATAGGAAGTATAATGCAGCAATTTAACCATAAAAAGTGAACAGAATTACTTATATTTTGTGAAAAAGTGGAAATGTATTTTTTATTTTTACTATTTACGGCGACAGCGCCCTCTACCGGGGCTGATATGGCGTGATCACGTTATCTCTCAGTTACTCGTATCTTCGTGACGTGTTTTGCTCCCCTTCTGCAATTCTCGCCGTTGTCACGGTCTGAGATTACCCTTCTGATTACCCCAGTCTGAAATTACCCCCCAGCACCTCGTGCGCATGCGTGACGCATGCGCAGTAGCGCTGGATAATGAGACGGCCGCGCCACAGTCTGAAGTAGGCAGGGTAAATTCATGACTGGGGTAATTTCGTGTCAGACCGGTCTGAAATTGTTCGCGGCAAAGTATATATCTTAACCCGGGTGCCCATAGGCGGGTAAATTCAGACTGGGGTAATCTCCGACCGGTCTGGAATTGTTCCGCAGCAAATTTATATCTTAACCCGGGTGCCCATAAGGCGGGTAAATTCAGCACTGGGGTAATCTCAGACACCGGTCTGGAATTGTTTGCGCAAATTATATCTTAACCTGCTAGGTGCCCATGGGAGGGTAAATTCAGACTGGGGTAATCTCAGACCGGACTGGAAATGTTCGCGCAAATTATATCTTAACCTGGGGTGCCCATATATAGGAGTATAATGTCCAGACAGGGGTAATCTCAGAGACCGGGCTGGAATTGTTCCGCAATTATAGTGCTTAAAACCATGGGTGCCATATATAGGAGGGGTAAATTCAGACTCAGGGTAATCTCAGAACCGGCTGGAATTGTTTGCCGCAAATTAATATCTGGGTGCCGCAATAGAGAGGTAAATTCTCAGACTGGGGGTAATCTCAGACCGGGCTTGGAATTGTTCGCGGCATTATATCTTAAGAACCATGCAGGGTGCCCATAGGAGGGTAATATTCAGACTGGGGGTTAATCTCAGACCGGGCTGGAATTGTTCGCGCAAATTATATCCTTAACCTGCATGGGTGCCCATGGGAGGATTAGTTATTAGACTGGGGTAAATCTCAGACCGGTTGGAATTGTTCGCCAGCAATTTATAGTCTTCTAAAACGCAGCTCCATATAGGAGGGTATTTTCAAACTGGGCTGGAATTGTTCGCGCAAAATTATATCTGGGTGCCCATAGGCAGGCGTAAGATTCAGACTGGGGTAATCTTCAGACGCGGGCTGGAATTGTTCGCGGAAATTATAATCTTAAAACCATGCAGGGTGCCATTATGGAGGGTAAAAATTTCAACTGGCGGTAATCTCAGACGGGCTGGAATTGTTCCCGCGCAAATTTAATCTTTAACTGCTGGCTGCCATGAGGGTTAATTCAGACCGGGGTTATCTCAAACCCGGATCTGGAATTGTTCGCGCAGAATTATAATCGTTAAAACGCAGCTCCATAAGGAGGCGTATTTTTCAAACTGGCCTGGAATTGTTCGCCGCAAATTATCATCTCCTAACCGTGGGTGCCCATAGGAGGTAAATTCAGACTGGGGTAATCCTCAGGACCGGGCTGGGAATTGTGTTTGCGCAAATTAATATCTGGGTGCCCAATGGGCAGGGTATCGAATGTCAGACTTGGGGTAATCTCAGACGGACATGGAAATGTTCGCGGCGACATTACTATCTTAACTGGGTGCCCAAGGAGGGTAAATGTCAGTACTGGGGGTAACTCAGACCGGGCGTGGGTGGATTTGTTCGCGCAAATTATATTTTAAAACCAATGCGGGTGCCCAGAGAGGGGTAAATTCCAGTCCTGGGGGTACATCTCCAGACCGGGCTGGAATTGTTTCGCGTCGAGCAAATTATTCCTTAACCATGGGTGCGCCCAAGAGGGTAGATTTCAGACTGGGGTAATCTCAGACCGGTCTGGAATTGTTCGCTGCCACGAATTATATGCTTAACCTGGTCCCGATCAGAAGGGTATAATTCTGACAGGGGTACATCGTCAGACCGGGCGGAATGTGGTTTCACTGCAAATTATAATCTAACGCTGAGTGCACATAGGAGGGTTAGAGGAAGGAGGAGAAGAGGAGAAGGAGGAGAATGAGGATGGGGGAATGGGTGTTGGAGGTAAGGAAGAGAAGGGGAAGGCAGGGAAGTGAGGCAAGGAGGAGCGTAAAGAGCAGGAGAGGAGGGGAGCAGTTGATGGAGATCGATGAAGAAAGGTCGTGGAGGGAGGGGTAGGGGGCAGGAGGAGGAGGAGGCAGGAGGAGGAGGGAGAAGGTGTCTGGAGGAGGATGGGAAGGTGTGAGGAAGAGGGGAGAAGGTGTTGGAGTAGGAAGGAGGAGGAGGAGAGGAGGGGGAGGAAGGAGGGGGGAGGAGGAGGGCGGAGAAGGTGATGGAGATCGACTGAAGAACGGCTCATGGAGGACGGAGTTGGGGCAGGAGAGGAGGAGGAGGGGAGAAGGTGTTGGAGGACGATGGGAGGTGGAGGAGAGGCGGAGGAGGAGGGAGAAGGTGCTTGGAGTAGGAGGAGGTAGGAGGAGGAGGGGAGAAGGAGGGAGGAGGAGGAGAGCGAGGCAGGGGGAGAGGAGGGGGAGAGGAGGAGCGGAAGAAAGGTGATGAAGAATCGCAATTGAAGAGGTCTGCGAGAGGAGTAGGGGCAGGAGGAGGAGGAAGGAGAGGGGAGAACGGATGACTGGGAGTAGGGGGACAGAAAGGAGGAGGGGAGGCGAGGAGAAGGAGGAGGAGGGGAGAGGGGGAAGAGAGAGGACGGACAGGTGATGGAGGGTCGAAATGAAGAAGGGTTAAGAAGAAGGAAGAGTAGGGGCAGGAGGAGGAGAAGGAGGAGGCGGAGGAAGGAGAGAGGTGATAGAGTAGGAGGAGGAGAGAAAGGGGTAGAGGATGAGAGGGGAAGAGGGCGGGGGGGAGGGAAGGCGGAGGAGGTGAGATTTGGAGGAGGAAGGGGGCAGGGGTAGCGCAGGACAGAGGAAGAGAAGGAGCAGGAGGAGGAGGAGGCAACAACAGGAGAAGGTGATGGAGATCAGAATGAAGGACATGGAGGAGGAGTAGGGCAGGAGGAGGAGATGAGGAGCGAGGAGGAGGAGGATGAGGAGGGGAGGAGGAGAGAGGCAGGAGGAGCAATTTCCTAAATAACAGCAGAAAATATTGGAAAGCCTGAAAGTGGGACTCGGTGCTGTAGAGTCAATGAATGCATGAATTGTAAAATCGTTATTGTCATTAAAACAAATGTATTGATTAGGCTTAGTTATGACGATGGTCGGCATATTTAGACAAGCGTATCATTTGTGACAATTATCCTTGATATAGATGTAACTATCATGCAGTGTCAGGGTATAGTGGTCAGATGGGTGTAAGTTGTTCAGAGGGATTAATTGTTGTAGATGATTCTAGACACATCATATACTTGATAGAGCTGTAGGCCGTAGTCATGGTCAACAGGAAATTATAATAGGCCGGAGAGCTAGGAGGGGTCCCACCGTCACCCCAACCCACAAAACCTCGAACCAATATTTTTCGAGCCCCATGACGCCCTGATCACAGAAAATAAATGTACATTGCGTATTTGGAATGAAACTCCAGATTATGACGTCCCTAAGCATGGCCGCCATAGTGCAATTTACCCAAAATGTGAAAAATCATAAAATCGTTATTATTTTGATCAAATAAACAAATGAGGTATCAAAATGACAAGCAATAGAAATGAACAAACCACATCTAATTTTTTAACAAAACAAACTAATAATAAAAAGATTTATTGCCAAAAAAATGACCTTTAATATCGATTTTGAGTCAAACATTAAAAATTTTATCAAGTCCTCGAAGAAATTACTTAACGAGTTTT